CTGTTCAGTTTGTACTTGTTGGGCCTTCGCAAATTCTGTGTTGTTAAAACTGGATTTTTTCGAAGGATATTTAAGACTTTTTGTATTTGTCGCGTGGGAGGGAAGTGTCACTTTCTATATTTTAGCGCTCTAAATATAATTTTGCAGAAAGCTAGCAGTGTTGCAATTTGAAATTTGATAACTTGGATAATTGGCCTTTAGATATCCTTTGTTTCAGAGAATGAGTTAATCTCTTCTCTTTTTATTTACGGCCTTTTGTTTACCTTTAAAAACCGACGAGACACCACTAATATACGAAAGCGTATTGCCTTTTTACATATTTCTGTTTCCAACGCTTCTTGTTGGTGTCTTTTTAATCCAACAAATCAATTACCGCGTAAGCGTGCGTGGACACGCGTGTGTTTTCTTTTGCTAACCTTTCGGGAACACGCAGGCCCGGCCTTGATGAGCGCAAAAAAATTCCGGAGGAGAATCTGTTGCAATCGATCAATTTGTCCCAGCCGAACGCAAAACTGGTGCATTCATGACAACGGAGGACCTCAAGTTTTGTCTGAGTAAAAAATTTCGATTTCGAGTTTCATGCAATTTTCACTGAAGTGACGTGGCCACGCGCAATGTTCATATGTCATGCAAAAATGACGAGGGCGTTTCTTTCCTGGACCCAGTTACTTTGGGACAAATCTTTATTGTAGTTGAATTGTGATGCTACGCACAATAGAATTTAGGACAGGGTGGGGCACTGGGCTAGAACAAGCCAATCACGCACTTTTCTGGCTCTCTGTGTTTATGTTTCACAATATCAACATGTATCAATGTTCCAAATTATACTTCGATTGTTTCTGGTTCTAGCAATATTCTTTTTTCATCCAAAATTCCTTCAAATAGTAATGCCGAAAAATCGTTATCTTTCAAAATAAAGAATGCAGTATTAAACCGGTCCACCCACAGCTCCGCGTGATCATTCGTGAAAAGAAAGTTTACTTGTCACGAAATCTTCCCTACATTGAATATTGCGTGACGAATCCACTCGTAACGTCTGTGTCTATCTCTAATGTGTCTGATTTTATTTTTCGTTCCTTATCTCCAGTGCACCTATGAACCGGAAGAGTGCCATGACGAGACAGAAAAGGACTCCAAACTGTTGGTGTTGTTTCAAAGCCAGAGTGACAGCCCTATTGGATCATCCCTACAATGCTTTTACAACCCGAAAGACCCCGACCAAGTGGTCCGCAAGAAGGCTTCAAAAGAAAGCTACAACAAAATGGTGTTGGACAATGTGGTGTGGCCGCTGGCCGTTATACTGCTGGCTGTTGTTATCACTGCCGTGGCTGCTTGCTTCTTCTCCGCGCGACGTCAGAACGGTTATGAAAGATTGGACGGCTCAACAACATCACTACAACAGACTCTCTGAATACGGAGTACAGTGAAACAAAAAAGATCTGGTCTTAACCAGTTACGACTTGAGTAAGATGAGCTAAATGTGAAAGTCGCGTTTTAGGCGTCTGAGAACTACGTATACCCTGTGAGGTGAAAACTGCTCGGAGGTTAAGAACAAGCTGGGAAAGCTCTTCAGCCTTGATTTGTTGAAAAACCCAAAAGACAGTTTTTGCTCTAAAATTTGAATCGCGAGCCTTCTTAAGATCACGCAGTTATTGTTTGTGTTGGCGACTAAATATTTCTTTTCTTTTAAAGGAAACTCAGAATATTTTCTTTTTAAATTATCTGGTAGAAATATATTTTTTAAATCATATACCGTACTTGTAATATTTTGTAAATATAAATATATAGTAATTAAATTATTTAATTTGATTGCGAGTTTGCAGTATTTGTGAAGGGGTTGTTTCCTCGCAAAATATATTTTTAGATCACATAATGGAGTTAAATTGATCAACTGTCGACATCTTGAGTATCATGTAACAACCTAGGCCCTAGTTTTCAGCCCACCCCTTAATCAAAGGGCGATTTAATTAATTCCTATCGGAATTTGGAGCCCTTCTCAACTGTTTACCTAAACGGAAGAATTATCTGAAATAAGCGGTATCAATGAAAGGTCTGGTCTGAGAAGTACGGTGTCATATGTTGGCGCAAGTCTGGACCGGAGCAGGCAAAATCACATATTTTTGTCTTGAATAGGATAAGAGGTTCACAACCCGACCCACATTTTCGGAAATCTTCCTCTAACCGGGCATTCATCTAAACCTCCCAACGAAACGAAAACAAGAGAACTTCGAGATCAGTCACAACTTATGATATCATGTTTTGTGTTAACATCTGTCTTCATCCGCAGAGGTTACACAACAATTATCACGATCTATCAGCGGCCGATTGATTCATAGCTGACTCGAGCCATGATCACGCTGAATTGCCAATACGACCACATTCAAGGCTCTACACACACCCGCACTCAATTCCAAATATACCTAAAAACGTTAACGCAATGCTTTTTTTCAGTGAATCAGTAGTGCTAATGAGCTTAAATTCGGCTTCTGGAGAATTTTCCTCCAGGTATTCTGATCACGGAAGCTCTTACTTGTAACGCACAAGGAAGACAAACTCGACACCAAGACGAGGATAGAAACTGTACGTGCGGCTCTATTGACCTCTACTTTTATAGAGTCGCACATCTCTTATTGTTGTCATTTTCCCGTCGAATTGGAGTTAAGATTTCGTTCACTTTTTAGGTTTTGAAAAAAAGACCATCGAATAATGCGCAAATTGACACTTGTTTCTTATGTCACCATGACGAGGTCATTCTTGCGTGTCCGGTGATAACAAATGGAGATGGGACATGTTCGGATGTGCGTCATAAATACATGGGAGGCAAAATAAAAGCTTGTGTCGAAGAAGAGAAAACTCTTTCAACCATTTCAATCCCAGCGGACAGGAGTGCTATCAGAGAACAAAAACAGTACAAAGTTATTAAACTTCAATCAATCTGGTCTAATTTTGCGGCTCACGATCGCTGGCGTTGGTGGGAAAGATGTATGCTAACTACCTAAAGCTCACTGTAGTTATCGCGAGTTTGATGTTTGTTACGGGGTTTATTGCCTTGATGGTCTTGTCTACAACTAAAGTGCTTCCTGCTCAGAAAGGGTTAAACTTCGAACAAGCGACTTGCCGTGTAACACACAGTGAAATATCATGTGCAACAAGCAACTGCGGCGATGAGAGTAAACACGTTGAAACTTCTCGATGTCTTAAAGTTTACGTGCTCTGTGAAGATGACAAATCCATAAACAAGAATAGAAACGTTTCCAACGACAAACAAATCGGGTATTTGCTACGAAAAGATGTGCATCACTTAAACGACAAGGTAAAAACTTCACACGGATTTCTAATAGTATTATAAATATCATCGTGTTCGGTTCATGATAATTTAGATTTGCAAACTTTTATACGCAATAATTTTTAAACCTCTTACAAAACCTTCTAAAATTATTAAATAATACCTGAAAGCATCTAAAGATTTCTTAATGATCTTTCTACACCTTTTTGCCTCCCTTCAACGAATGTTCAACGTTAGGACTCGAGGCACGTTTAACGTAACAGTTGCATGCAATATTGCACCGTGTCACAGCGCCTAGAATTGTGCAGATGTGCATGCAAATTTACATGAATGTCACTCTTGCGAGCTTTATTGAACTTACTCACGTGACCGGAATGCGTGACTGAACCTGAAATAGCAGTCTCGTGCACGACATGCAGAGTTAATATGTTGAAACTAAAACTTTTTTCAAGAGGACATCAAAAAGCGAAATAATGAGAAGAACAGATTGATGATTCAATGTGAACAAGAGTTAGCTAGAGTTGTCTAGACGAGACGATTTTTAAAATTAAAAAAAAAAAAAAGGGAAAACGATCCGAACCCTCGCTCAATTGACTTCCTTGACCTTCTTCAGGTAGTCTCGTCAGCACACGTAAGTTCTCGTGTGGTGAAAACTTCTCAAAGTTTCATGCGAATCGCCTAGACTCATTTCTTTCTCCGTAAGCAGGTGTTGTCAGTGTGCACGTTTTCTCAGCTTGATAACTCTTGTTCAAAACTACTCCTGGTCGACTGTCTGCTCAATCTTCTGATCAAATTTAAGAGTAGCGACAATGCAATTAAGTCAAATCTATATTAAGTGAACGTGTTAGTCACACTGAATGTTTTTGATAAACAGTATCCTTCAAACATGCGAAGTTTATTTCAACCCCTCAGTGATACTGAAATACAAACAATATAAGTTCAATATAAATCAATATAAGGGACCGCCCAGTTACAGTTTAGTCTTCAGTAACAAATAACGAGTTACATTTTTTCGAGTACCTGCGTTTCAGCCAATTTCACACAGAACTTCCTAAAGACCATATCGCTCCCGTAAATTTTTGTGAAACACATATGATAAGCCTCGTTGAGTTTTCGTTGTCGTGTGAACTAGCAGGCCATGGGCCAGGGCAATGAGGGATGTTTATAAATTTTCAATGTATTTTTAACTCAGTAATTTAGTTTCCTCAGGACAGAATTGCCGATAAACCCTTTTTTCCTGTAAACAAAGTTAAATGTTAGGTCAGTAGTTCAATCCACTTCCTGTAATAAATCCCATACTTTCCACATAATTCAATACGTTATCAATACCATACTCTGAAGGTAGCCATCATTTTCGAACGCTATATGTCAGAAATCATAGCTCTAAAATTACTAGGAGAGAAGTAATGTAGTTAAATAATATCATTTAACAGTGCTCTCTGCCATCATAATATCCCGGTTTACTTTTATTTGATCCCCAAATTTGCATTCGTCCCCTTCTTCTTGAAACAATCGCCAGTCTTTCGAGGGACTCGTGCTCGTGCGACACGCTCGCTTCGCGTTCCTCCCACGTGATCTCACCCATGAGCGTGTAAGAATGAAGAGTGAATAAATAAATAAATCAATAAATCAATAAATAAATGATAACTAATAGATATCTGACATATGCATGTCCACAATTTCTTCTTTCCAGTGTTCCTATGAGATTGCTCCAAATATCAGCCATTCAGACTCAGACACCAGTCGAAAAAACCTGGAAGAGCTTCAGCAGCAGAAGGGGAAGCCTGGATCGACATTCAAGTTCTATCGCAATCCTAAAGCCCCGGATGAAGTGGTTTACGAGAATCACAGCAAAGAAGAATACAGACATGTTGTGTTACAGAGCGTATTGTGGCCCGTTGCTTTAATTGCACTCTCGATTTTGATACTAATTTCGGCCATGTGCTTTTGGCCAACTCGTAGAGAGTACAGGAGAATTCCATGAGTTATTAGCGAGTAAAGTACATTGCAGTTACAAAAGGGTCTAGGTATGACAAAAGTCAGTGGCTCAACCAGCTTGTTAGTCCCAGGCCGTCACAATTCAAGTAAGAAAGAGAAAGGCAAATATCAAGACAATATTGTAAGCAAATGCCAGATACAGATACAGATTTCAAAGGAACATGTTGATCGCTATATGAAGTTTATTATGTTATTGGAAGAAGACTTGATATCAATCAAACTTATTTTGGAGAGACTCTATGAATAACTATTTTTCGTCAAGAAACTTTCAAACTCAGGCTTCACAGGGTGAATCTATAACAGATATCTAGAGAGCGACTGAGTTATATTTTGTTAGGGGTTCTTATTTCTAATTCTTAGCCCTTCCTGGATGTGGTGCATCACGAGGAATAAATATTTGTAGCTTTGGTAGTTTGTCGACGCATTTGTTATTGCTTTTGATAATTCGACGAAGAGGCGACGGTTGGAAATGATACTTTTGGAATTTGCACGGCTCTTAAGTCATTAACAATTTGAATTTGGGGCGGATCTAGGGGAGTTCAGATCAGTGGAACCCCATAAATTAAAGAAAACGAGACATTATAACACGTTGGCTTGGTCTCAGAATACCGAAAATCCCATTTCCTACAGGAGCTCAATTTTAAAAATGTTCCGAAAGAGGATGCCAGCGGACCCCCGTAAAGGGGACGCCTTCGGCGTTCCGTATCTCGATTCCCCTACTCTAAAATCCCGTATCCGTCCTGGTGAATTGAAGTTCATTAATAATTTCTTAAGTTAACCCCAAGTTAAAAAAAAAAAAGACAAAGAAACGAAAACATTAATCTACGTACAGTTCCTGGATGACGAACTTTATTCATTCTATTCGTCTGTCCACCGACTTAAAGGGGAAATCAAATCAAGGTTTAATCATTTTTCTCAGTAACAATGAAATTAAAGGAAAGATGATCGATGGATTTTTGCCTTAACTATCATATAGTCTCTTTCTTTAGTATCGTGAGCGTGACGATACGTCCAAGCAGATTGTCTTTGTGAAGTCACTAAGTTTCTCGAACTGAATATATCTGGCATCGTGCTACTGAAATTGGACGATTTTCGCTGGATAATTTGACTAGCAATGTTTTCTCTTGCTGGTGAACTACCAGGGTACGCAGCATAGGTATTCAACCATGATTCATCGGCGCCCTGTTCGCAGACCCTCTCGGTTTGGGCAACTCTATTTCTCTTGCGCCATCTTCTTCCTTTCCTCTTTTCTTCCTCGTGTACGAACGGGATAAAGCTTGGCACTTCCTTTATCGACGGAAAGAGTACTTTATTACTTTTGTTAGGAGGTACAAAATCAGTCGTCAATTGCCTATTGTCTTTTGCGGCGCTTGGGAAGACAATTAATGGAAAGACAAGTTTCTCTCCATTATATGAGTCGTCTGACAAGTAACTGTTTCTTTGATTCAAGTTTGCAGCAGTATCCTGGTCTCTCAAGTACGTTTCTTTATTTAGAAGCCCCTTTGCAAAATTGTCATGTTGCTCTCTTCTCGTTGCTTTTTCAGCTGAACAATCATCAAATAAATTCGAGTGTTTAGTTGACTGATCCGTCTTTACATTTACACTCAACAGGGGTCTTGATTTGAGGTCCATTTTAATTTCCCTCTTGTTATCAATGATCGCTCTCTTGGGTTCCGCGTTTTTATGTCTGTAATATATTTTAGGATGTAAATTTCGGAAAGGGTTTTCCATTCGTTCCATATCAGTCTGTGATGAAGTTTCATCCATGAAGATGCTACTGCTTTCGTCAGATGAATGAACCTTTATATCAATCGTTCCTGAAATTCAGTTCCAAAAAGTGATGTCAGTGATTAATGACAATATTCAAAATATGGCTCTTAAAGACATGCGAGCGTCGTAAGTCTATTGTAAGATCGCGAGGCGAGCCTTGCTAATCGTGTAGGGACTCCACTTGGAAAAAGATGTCAACTTTGATTCCCTCGAGGAAAAGTTAGAAATTAAGAGGTTATAAATGTGTGCATCCTTTATCTAATACTCCCCACAACTTCGTTTTTAAAGAGAACTCCAAATAAACTATTAATATGTAAAAATTGCGACATCCTTTCTAAAAACGCATTCAACCAGTCAAATTATCAGAATAGCATATCAAACACATTAATTTGTAGTCTGGTGTGTGCTATTTTGTCTTGACGAAGTGATTGATATTTCCGCCATCATGAGAGACGTATATATATATACAGATAGTAGAGTTTAATATACGGGTGGAATAACCGACAACAAGTTGATGTTATCACAAGTCCATGCAATAAGGTTTTGACGCTGAAGGGATATTGCTTATAAAGTGAAGTCTCTCATGTGTGCTTCTGCATCTTAGCTATTACCGAAATAAACATATGCCTTTACTTTCAGAAAGGAAACGCGAACATTTTTAGCCTTCGTTTCTAAGACTTCTTGTCGCGTTTTACGATGGAACCCTTGCTGTTCCTTACCCGGTAAATATTTCGTGTTTTACTCTCTCCGTCTTGCTGATCATGACAAACAGGGGTCAAGAAGCTCTGCCAAAATGACAGAGCAAAATTTACAGTACTATTCTATGTAAATTACGTTCAACCTTGTCGTGAAATTCACTGTCGCACTGATTCAAAGGGAGACTCGATCTTCTTTCTGTTAAGTTACATTGATTCTTGCACTACCTTGGTTTTCTCGAATGGTTGTCGACGGCGAGTGATGTAAGTAACAACATTTGAATTTTTCCAGCGAATGATACAAACTCACCGTTTCTCCGCATCGTCTTTACTGTCGTGTTTCCAATCGACTGCGACGCTAATTTCGCCAAATATCAAACATATAGGCACTGCGCACTCTAAAATGCCCTGCTGTTTAAATTCTGTAGCTTGGAAACGCCTCTGTTTTGGCAAGGTGTGCAAATATACGTTCGACGACATGAAGTTTCCTTTTCCACAGAAATTAATCAAGCTTTTTATGATAAGTATGAATAATTATCACTTTGGTTCCTGTTGACGGCCCAATTTTATCAAAGCAGCGATCAGTAGTTGTGCAGAAAAGAAAAGATTAAAAGTCAACGATCGATTCTATTTCAAAGGAAAGAAAATGGCACGCAATATATAGAATTTGCATATTCCACTACTTTGTACTCAGCGATGTCTACAGCTCATTTGAATCTCAAGGAGCAACTTCAAATTACAAGAATATATTGTTATGTTTTGCTCCTCGCCATGGTGAACAAATGCATTAGTGGCCAAGACGTGTATAGGGACTTTTTTCGCAAGTTTTGCTTAAGTTCAAGTCAATAAACAACTGGTTGTTAAGCCATAAACTTGTGTATTTAGAATCCTCTAAAAAGAATATACACTTGGCGAAAAATTGCTGAATTTGAGAGAATGATTAAGATAAAGAAAACATAATTTAACTCATCATCGAAACTGGAATATTTCTCAACACGTTTGGTATCCTAGATTTCGTTTATCACCCAGGGCCATGGGCAATACGACTTGATATATTTTTACATATGACAAAGTATGAAGTCACGTGAGTAATAACCAGCGATCCTCAAATTAACTTACTTTTTCATGGTAACTTCCAAACATGGTGTAAAAAACAAATCAATAAAAAATGTGGGGAAATAGATTTAGACATTAGCAAATATGCCAAAAAAGGAGGGGAAAGCTCAGTGCGTACAGTTTGGTCTGTTAGCCGCATTGTTTAAGCCGGTATTCGCCATGTGAGTGAAAACACCTCGCATCTTGAGCTGACCCACCTAAGGGGCTTATTTCAAAACATCAATTCTCCTAACCCTATTACAAGCCGATTAAATTATTAATAATTTTATTTTATCAAATCATGGCCTGTTTACTTATTCTAATTATAGGGAGAAGTTGTCCTTTGATCATTGTTGTCAACTGAAGGGGCTGAATAGAACTCTGTGCTTCGGGCTATTTGTGAGAGCAGTGTAAGCAAAACTGTACGCTTTAGGGCTTTCATGCTGACTCCTTTCTTAATTTAAAGCGTTAAATAAATCGATACAGCTTTTAAGGGAAAGGTTGTCCTTCAGAAGTGCAAAAACTTAACCGACATTTGCAAAAGGTATCATGATATGGTTAGTGGTAGCTTAGAGTTGTTTGAACAAAGTTTACAGTGTTTCAGTCCAAAAGAAGCACACACAACAAATCACAGAAATTTATGATTTGCAATTCAATCGTTCGGAAAAACTGTGAGCCTCGATCAACCAGGCCTACCCATAGTGCCTTTCGGTATTGTCCCGAAGACTTTTACACTGTTTAAGAAAAACCTTAGTCAAAACAGCTGTAAACAGATAAAATGGTCCAACAAGAAATGGCAGGCCACAGACATCATTTGCTGATCGAGAAAAGCGACAAGTTAATCACTTAACCTCGAGTGTTCTCTTGGAAATAATTTCCGAGCATACATGTGTGACATACACGAGGAATCCGATTGAAGACGATGGAGATTCTTATAGCGTCTCCACGCTATCAAGAGACGTCAATTAACTTTAATTCGGCCTGGGAGCGAGGCCTAAAGGACACAAACAAAGGAAATCGAATAATTAATGAACATGCTTACTCGTGTCTCTAGTTTGTGCCTCAAGACCTAGGCAATAGACTGTCATCATATCTTGACCTATAGATAGGTACTTACACTTTGTTTAAATACGCTTGCTTCGTCAGCTATACAAATACACAATAAAAAGAAAGACAGCTGATTTCTACAACCTCGCTATCAATATGAATTTTTCTGTTGACAGTAGCCTATTAATGTCTCTATAGCAACAGTATTTCACCTTGCACTTGCTGCACGAGAGTCCTTTGTTTAGCTGACAACCAGATCAACAGGAAGAAACACCCTTGACTCAGGTTTATCAACTCACAGCGGTCTTATAAATGAGCAATATCAAACACTTGTGTTTTCTTAATAATGTTCAAGTAAGAGCGTGAAAAATAGTTTAGTGATCGACCGTTTGCCATGCACCAAACCACCAGAAGTTCTTCACATGATCGAGGTAAGCTACCGTATTTAAGTAAGACTAATCTGCCTCATAAAACGGCGACAATTTTGGTTTTGAAATCAAAGTTCCTGATAGGTTTTCACAGACTAAAGCAAAAACTACTTTAAAATTAGTTTAAAATGGTAGCTATGTTAATTAAACGTAATCGCGCAGCTTTTATTAGACATTAATCATTTTAGGATCTAGGCCCCAGTGAGTGGCTATGTTACACGGACAACGCCTGTCCTCTTTCATATAACAATCTCGTTTGCTGTAATTTTATGACCGCATTTCAATTCAGTGGTGTGTTTCTAACTCAACGTAGAATTAAACAACACAAGGTTCCTATCCAGAGTAGGATTAATATATTCATTTTCACAGATTAATATCAGTACCATGTTAATTAACCTTTTTTAGATTACGTTGAATGTTCTCTGGGTTCGTGTGGTTAGCCTCCTGAATTAATGAAGCACTTGTAGAAGGGAAGCAATATTTTCGGCGCCGATTAAATTACGAATCAATTGTTACGTGGGGCTAGGGGTGGATATAATCGTTATGCACCTCTCCTAATATTCCTAGAAACCTTCGCCTTGATTAAACAGCTAGTGTGTTCTAAATTTTAGTAATGCCATAGTTTTTCTTGCTTATAACTACTTATCAGACTTTCTTACTCCGTCTGTATCGAACACTCAGCCCGTAACCATCATTTGATTTAACCTAAGTGCAATTCCGTCCAAAGGAAACAAAATTAAACTATCCAATTTATGTTAGTTTTATTAATTAATTTTTTTTCAGTTAAAACGTTTTCTAACAAACAATAATACTGATTATCAACATCGCTTCTGCATCTGCCTGTTTCTCTAGTGAAAACCCGCATTCCTGTATTTTTTTTAGAACAGTAAGCAATCAAATGTTGATAAGCTGTATTGGGGAATGACTAACGACGACGAAATATTGATTACCCATCAAACTATTTTCCCTCTCAATTTGTCATCATTCTAGAATTATAGCCGCAAAACCATCGTGCGTCATTTAAAAACACATTTTTGGACTGAGCAACCTGCAATATCCCAAAATAAACGCCGTCGTTCCATTAGCCTCCATTAGCCTCCATTAGCCTCCATTATCTGATTACCCGACAACTAAATTAAAACTCCCAAACTTTTCGTTAACATGTTATTGTATTTGTCCATCTTCAGTCCCGGAATTGCAATGAAAAAGAACAAGTTACCCCGGACTGAAAACATTTATTACAAGATGAACAGAAACTGTCAATATTTAAATATTTAAGAACACCCTTATGCGATTAACAGAAACATCAGTTCAACATCTTTAAGAAACTCACCTCTAGGATACAGGTGACTTTTTGTCTCGAGGCGCCTTTGATCGTAAATCAGTTCGTGTGACATCATCATGAAAATTAAATTTCTTAATTAGTTAGAGTCATTTGTGCTTGGTAGGACATGGCTATGCTGTGCAGTGTCTTCGACTCCCTCTAAAAACTGAGAAGGACTCGGCTTTGCTCTTGATTTTAAGGTCAGTTTTCCTTAATATGAATTGCTCTTGATTATAGTTGTAATCTGTGGTTACTAGGCAGATTTGACAAGTTTTCCTGCCTCCTAACAACCGCTTGGATAAAACAAGAGTGAATTATGTATATGACGCAGTTAGTGCTATGCAAGCTTATGCAACTCTCAGTGAACGGAAATGATAAGCTTCCTATTTACATGAGACGGCACTGGTTTCTTCATTTTTCCTTTTTGGTAATGATAGGTAGTTTTCTTCTTTGATTTTCAAAGAAGATATTTCTTGATACAAGAATCGCTACTGTTACTACATGACAAGTGCAGCAAAGCCAAACAGGAACTAATTATCCTTCAATATCAATTTACTTCAACCCCACGCAAGGAACGCGCAAATGCGCACTTAATGATCGAAATACCGCTAAGACAAAAATACCTTGGTACGGAAACCGTTCGTAACGGACTGATTACGTCACACTAAACTACATGACGTTAGTTGACATCCGGGAAACCATCAGCAACGGAAACAACTGGGTAGATAAACTGATGTTGCCATTGAGGTGGTGGTGGAGGAGTGGGGGATTTTATTTTCGAGGCGGCGTTGAGTATTTTTACATTTCCTTTTCTGCACTCTCACTTGGCTAGGAATAGCAGCATGTACTGAATTAGCACGTGACGTGATGTGACTGAGCCAACACGGCAAGTCTGTCTTTAAGCTCAATTAACTTCCTAACGAACTGATGAACATTGAAACGACATTAGCATTTAGTGGGAGATATGGGGCTAGAACGAAAATAACTTGTCGTGGATACCCGACATAAACAAATACAAAACTAGTAAAAGTATTTTAGACCATAGTTGATAAGACTGCAAACTGGTCAATTCCTCGTCTTACATTCTCTGGACTCAAGATATTCAGATCAACAGATGGTAATACGAGGAGCTGTTGAAAATAACAGTTTTCGAGCCTATGTTCAAATCTCTCTTTGATATTGCGATCAATAAAACAACCTCGATGACGTAAAAACGTCGCTTTGAGATCTTTGAATACCACTTCAATAATAACAAGTCATTTGTTTTTGTAATAAAGAATTGTATTTTACATGCTAAGGAAATAGTTTCTGTTCAAATGCCGCGTTAAATCAACTCTGGACAATTCGCAGCTTGAAAGTAAATATTCCATGTTCATCCCTATGTATTGACCTCCAACTACACCATGAATGCAACAAAAAGTGATATCTTTTCAAATGTGGTAGGATTCTTACTCAGGCATCCGTAACAATGAGCTGTTCATTTGTCTTTAACAAAGGCCTATTCATTGTTTACAATATTGACGTTTTAAGAAAACAAAGGAACATTTCGTTTCTCGATATCAATAAAGTTTACCTGTGGAAAGTTTTTGCAGTGAGCTCTCCTTTCCTGAACGAAAAAACCTTATGGACGAAAACTCTTAAATATAATTAAGTTTACAGTCTGTGGTCATTTTTAGTGAGATCCAAGTTATCGAGGGTACATTTCGTTGGCGATAATTACAGAAGTTATTGTTCAGCTCCTGTTGACAAGTTAAAATATGCTAAATCTCCAATTTTCATTTTCTTTTAGAAGTTACAGAGCTTTTTGAAAGTTTTGTTTATTATGTGTCTCTTTGTTTGATTTTAACCTGCATAAACCGTTTATGTGAACAGTATGGTCTTATTAATGTATGATTAACAGTTTCGTTGTGTAAATTTTTGCACCTCACAACTGAGTCTAGTCAACAATGCAGCACAAAGCACGCGTTTCTGTGAGAGTCACTGCTCGCGTTGTCAATTTACAGTATAACACAGCTTCAAGTTATTTACCCCCACGGCGCGAAATAACTTCCAGAACATTGTATAACTTCTGCAAATGCATGCCTTTTTTTACCATCAACATCTTTAACTGTCTGATAATTATGGAGCGAATAATCATGATCTTGCATGTTATCAATAAGTACATATTTTTACACCTAACAAGTCTTGCAAACGATGTACAAATAGCCCTGTTTGAGAGAGCCATTGCTTCGTCAATGCAAGTGCTGTACAACCTTTTCCAAGTTGTTGACAATCCTAAACAACTTAAGAACTGACGCGAAATCTATACAAAGTTCTCCAAACGAGAGACTAATAAAAGACTACCGTCAGCTGGACCGATTTCAGACCCGTTGTGTTGCGCAGGAAATCTCTTCCTCCTCAGAATGAGATTACTTCGACTGTTTACATAAGTCCTCTGATTAGAGATTTGACATTATGTACAATCTTTGCGATGGTTAATTCGCGTTAATACCATCATGTTCCGCCAAAAATTCTTCGTTGTCGTAAATTATGTTCATATTAATATCTTCCTTTGGTGATATGCCATTGCGATGAAGCGATGGAATACAATTCGGCCTTTCAAAACGCTGCCTTTCCAGCTCTAAAGGAGGGAGATTCGTCGACAGCCGGGGAGCTCGAGGACCTTTCTTTGATGAGTCACTTCTAGCACTTGGCGATGACTCTCGGCGATCGCGCGGAGAACGATTTCTAAGTTCAAGCAAAGGTGCGTCGCTTAAAGATCTCCAGCGATATCTAGGACCAGTGGGATCATCAGTCTTTTCAGGGTTTTCCAGTTCTGCAGGGCAGCTTTGGCTCTTTGGACTGCTGCTCGGATCAACACGTATTGAAGGCAAGGGGTCGTTCGGTCGAGTTACCGAAGCCTTTCTCAGTAACACTTCGTCAAAATGAACATTGGAATCACTGACATCTTCTTCTGCACGCTTTCGTATTATTTCAAGCAATTCCTTGGTATGTTCCTCAGTAGGTCTGTTGCGTAACGCTCGGTTTTGAATTTCTTCCGTGTTCCTCATCTTAACTGTCCCTCTCGCTACGCTTGCAGCAAACTCAGTATCCGAAAAGGATAGGCAAAGGCAAACACCAAACACGATCTTGCTATGGGAACGATCGCGGATGACTCATATATCCCAGTTTAACGTATTGTTTGTGAAATTATATGTTAAATGTACTTAGAAACTTGCGTCAAACGACCAAGTATGACTCTGCTTCACTGAATTTCCACAGAAAACAAACGTAACTAGCGACAGCGGTTCTGGTCAATTACTAAAACCAGGCGGAGGCGGCCGTTCAATAACCAATATCACTAACTACAGGAAAACTGGCGAAGGTAATTAGGAGAGTCAGGAAGCTAATGGTTGGCTAAGTGTGACCTCTTATCGGCTCTTTGTTCCTCCGCCTGAAGGGGTTTAGAGTAATTAATTTTCAGTTATGCTCAGAATGAAAATTGATTATTAAATGAACACAGCACAATAGGATTATACGAGATTTATTTAGCGCTGTTCTCTATAATTGTAGCTCTAACTAATAGCTGGGCTAAGGCTTCAATTTCTCAAGTAATTTGACAGTTAGTAAAGATGGTAAGACTGCTTATACATAGGACCTTACTTGACCTCCAAAATATTCAATAACCTGTGACTATAATTAAAATTTTCCGAAGGTTCGAGAAAAGTTGGTTTAAAGGAGAAAATAAATTGATACGGTCTTACGGCAATTGACAACAAACGTTGACGAAATGTCGCTCTCAGTTATAAAAAAGCGTTAATTCAATCGTCTCATGATCATTGACTACAGACAGTTAAGATATGGCTAATTAAAATGGAAACTTCATTCATGACAAAACATTGAACTCTACAAAGGCACAACCAAGGAAGTGAGTGTAATTACAAATTGGGAATGAAAGCCAGAGAACTTTTCTTTTTGTCCACATGAGCTATGTTATGACAGTGTTCATTGTGGTATTTCAATTAGCCTTTTAGACTGATGCTCATTATTTTCAGAATCTCGCCAACTACAGTGCAATAAAGTTCTACCGTAAAAAAGCTACTAAAATTTGACAAAGTGTATTCCTTAAGAAAACAGTATTTTCAAAGACTGCTTGCAATAAATTTTGCCAAGAGGCTTCCTTTTCAGCCTTTTGAGAACAAAAAATTTGTACAAGCTTTGTGCAATACAATTCACACCTCTTAAAGGTGTTCATTAATCCGTTGAGCAACGTTTTCACCTTTGTTTGCGTAGCACATATATTTAGGTAACTCTTTTGTGATGCTGATATTTCCTGCCTCTTTATCGCTATATCTTCTTTAAGGACGTTTACACAAAGCATACATTAGCATAGAGACTCGCCCGTCTGAGAAAATAACCGAACACAACTGGAATACCGGCACATGCCAATCAAACTGAGAGAACTTGACGTCTTCATTGTGTTAAAATCTCCAATTGTTGTGAAAAGTAATTAACTCATGTGAATTTGGCAATCGTTTTTGTGTTGATGTAGTAAACATTCAATAAAAGTCCACTAAGTTATTGTCTTTTTGTACGCTACTTAATCCAGTTATCATCGCACAAGGCTAATTCAGGATCTTGTGGTGGGGTCAGTAATTTGGCGAAACTTTCGGCTGAACTTTTTTCCATGGTCATATATAATTCAGCTCGCTTACCTTTTTGGAGCTGTCCCTCTGCAACTACTGAATTATCATTTAAGGGATTTTTTTCTTTACGTTTGATAACACTAATTAGAAATAGAAGCGGCACTGGCTTCGAAAGCTGATAAGGTCAGAGATACTTATAACTACTAGTTGTTTCGTGGTCTTGCGGTAATTTGTATTTGGCTGCGTGACCAAGAGGCCAAATGAATACTCTACAGCTAGCCAATAGCATAATGAATCGGCAGAAATTCAATTGACACGGGGCACAGCACTTAGCCATGCTGCATTTCTGTTTCCAGTGGTTTACTCTTACGACACAAAGAACGGCTTGCCATTTATTTCAGTACAAAGAGTGTAAGCCAAATATTCATTATAACATGGCAAAGGCCAAGAACGTTTTTTTTTGTTTTGATATATATATTGAGAGTATTTCATTGGCATAAAAAAGCATGCATTTCGATTGATCATATGTCAACTAGGATTATGGAGTGTACTATTGCTATAATATCTACACTCGAAGTCAGTGGTAATTTAATTTGCTGTCAATGCCGCATAATCATAACAGTGGCAGTTACAGGTATTAATTGATCGACCTCTTGAACAAGTAACCAAGGGTACGATAAACGGAAAGTCTGACCGCAGCACCTAGCAACCATAATCTTGTTTGTCGCGATCATTGATGCATGTACTCTGCCGTTTGATTAACGAGAAATTCCCTCTTAGTGGTCTCTAAACATTCTTATGACGATGGTATTTACGGCCTAATTTTTTGTATGCTTCAGACTGAACCCTGGTGCAAAACTTTTCTCGCACAGATGAGCCATAAAACAAGAATTCAATTTACACGACCTGAATGTAGATCAGTTGTAATATTTGCAAGGGAGCAGCACATGATCGATGATGCCTGATTGTCCATTCGTCTTTGTTTCGGTATGTCGAAGAATTTTAACAATTTGTTTGCGTATGGATAAAAAGATCAGCACATCAAGGCAGCAGAAGCTGAATTATTTCGATTGGGGCTTTCGAGCATAGATGATTTAATGAAAAGTATGTAATAATACAAGTATATTACATGTTACAGTAACCGACTGACAAAACTGATGAGTCAAAAGTGACATGAAAATGTAATGCAAAGTGTCATTTCAAGTCATAATTGCCAAAGTGATTACATTTTTTCTACCTTCCAATGCAAATAATTTTGTATCTGAGGTGCAAAAGTTTCTTGGTCATTCATCTTCAGTCGCTAAGGTGTTTTAGTGTCGCATAGGGGAACCGGGGAGTAATTTAACCACCACTAACCAATGGAACGTCTGCGTGCAGAGACTTCAACATGAGCCGAGCTAAATTTAATCTGTCCCATTCGAACATTCTACACCTGACATCTATGACCTGCGTAGTTAAGCAATTTGAATTGAATTGCATGTAGCCAAGCAATTCAAAAATGCCTCAGGGTTAGTACAAGAGGTGTAAAAAAAAAAACGCTTCCGTGCGATCTGATGCTCTTTTTTAGAGCACCTGATCGCTGCAATTCAAGTAAAACAAGAACACTTTAACTCGAAAGAAATTGTCTCCAGGCTTTAAATAACTTTAAACACGCGCAGGAATCCGCAGGATCCATGGATCAGTAATCGCGATAAACCATTCAGTGGTCGCTAGGTGCAATCTGACGGCTTGTTTTGTACCCTTGGCGACCGGTTTAAGAGGTCTGTTATAACTCCTCGGTTACTGCTACGTGGGGCATATCAGTATAAACAACAAGACTCTAGCCTGATTGAGTATAAGTTATTATAGCAATAGCACAGGCACCAATCTTCTATCGATATCTTTACTCGTGTACTTCACTGAGCTCTAACACGATAATGACCAAATTTCGATAGCCCGCCCTCGGTTTTAGAAATGGGTGAGAGCAGTTGGAAACGCAATCTGTCGATTAGCTCAAAGCAACAGAGAATTATACCCGCTATGAGAGGTATGTGTTATTGAGTTTACACCCTCTGAAACAAATCCATTACAGGATTTTTAATTAATCCTCGACGGAAGAATGGTTTATCTGACCGATTAAAATTTGCCGTTCAAAGTTTGATAAATAACTGATCCAAAGAAGGCAAGCCTCTTTCGTTACAAACGTTATAACCACTTGGGAAGTAAGGTACAATCTAGGGGAGGTCTTTTAGCTTGAATACAACAGAATGCTAGTTATGAAGATAATAACTTAAAGAAATCGATAGATACTTGGTATAGCACTAAGCCGATGATGACATTCAAAACCAAATACTTTTGGTCAAGGCAAACATCCACATTGATCAAAATCAAAGTTTCGATTAGACAGAATATAGTCCTTACTTCTATGATAATAACTATACTGTAAGAGATTTGGTTCTAAAAATTTTTAAATTTTTAAATTTTTAAAAATTAAACCGTAAGTAACAACGTAAAAAGGGGAAACTGTTACTAAGGAAATAGTTAGTGAAGAAACTGTCTTCACTGAGAAAACGGACTTAGAAAAAAAATTGCGTCCGTTTAATAATACCTTGAAATTGTTCCGTTAACTCAATAATGCATTTTAAACCTGCGGACTCTTCCAAAAGTCTCCTCCAACAATGCAAACGTTTCATCGAAACAATAATTATGAAGTAAACTTACGATTTTATGCCAAAGAAGTGATGAAATACCCTAAATATATGTTAGAAAAATCCGCTTCTTCGTTCCCGAGCGTAACTTACAGAGTTCATTGGCACTCAATTGTATGAGTTCGATGTTTTCAAAACACTTCATTAGCCGGGCCGCAGGGACGTATGGGTGGTTATTGGTGTTGTAATTGTTCTGGGCTTTCGTGAGCTTTTGTTATACTGACAACAATGGATACCTGTTATAGTCAGGGTGAAAGTATTGTGTGTTTCTGCAGTGTATTTATTTAAATTCAAATCAAACAGATTTGAGTCTCCCATGCTGTAGATCTCACGCTTACTCTCCTAAATATTGCTCACAAAGTTTTTGAACGAGTTCCTAAATAAATGCGATGTATCGCATATTTTCTTTTCTATAAAACTCAGACTATAAAAAAATTTTAGTTTAGCCCTCTGGAAGGCCAGTCAAAAAGCATTATGGATAAATTTAAAATATTATGCGATGACTTTGTTTATTGGTGACGTTAACGTCAGTGAGGATGTTTTTTTGTCCTCTATCCCTCTCTCTCTCTCGTCGATTCTTAACTGACCCATTAATGGAATATAAAATAATTCTTCCTCTCATATTTGCGCAAGCCGACTGTCTGGACCATATTTAAATCAGTAAAATTACCGAGACTGTCTACCAAAAGTGAATGAGACTAGAATATATTAACATATCGAGAGATTTCAAGTAGTTTCAAAGGAGCTGAATTTGTATGGAAAACTTTGTACACCTTAAAATCCAAATATCTGACCTTGGACATTTTAATGCTAAACACAAAAAATATCACAATATTAATATTGGCAAACGTAATTTGAGAGCCGACCATGCACCTTTCTTAAACATTTGACTTCGACCACTAAAAATGTTTAATATGTCTATTCAGTACGTTGGAGAAATTAAAAAGCATATCAAGTATTTCAAGGATGGGTTTAGGCAACTAGGATTAAATTGAAATTGTCACTGGCTTTTTGGCTTCTTCTCTGTTCAATTAAAGGCCATTTTAAGTTTGTCACTATATATAATGTAGTTCATTTCATGCCATGAACGTCAGCACAGTAGATCGTTATTTACCATTGCATTTGTCAAGTATTATTCTACGAATTCAGTTTTTTTCTACATTAGGAAATCTTGCCAGATTAAATGACGTCTTTCTAAATGCACTCTTTTTTCTTCAACTCTAAAACGCCAATACGCAGTAAACCGGCAATAACAAAGACATAACCGCTGTGATCAGCCAATTCCAGTTCATTTGGCTTCAGATCCATTATGTTACTGGATGTTAAGTATTAATATTTGAATTTCTTGGCACGTAGGCAAATACAAATTAGCGCCAAGACCACGAAACTACTAGCTATACTAAGTAACTAGCTAGCCCAGTGTTATTATATGTGCATAAAACAAACAGCTGACGAAGTGTCGCTTCAATGTGTTGTCAAATATACCGGGGAATATTCAGTCCATAAAAACGTTATCATACAGTTTTTGAAAGACGGCTTTGAAGAAGTAACCGAGCAGAATAATGGCGTAATTTTCAATCGTATGTTTGCCACGTCATGGCCATTTCCACAACCATAACTGCCTTAAACTAATAGAGGAAAAAATTTTCTTTTCTTTCTTCTTATGCATTTCGTTTTGAGGACTGGACAGGGTGCGGAAACTTGGAAAGTTCCCAAAAACCCCTGAGCAACTCGCGAATGCGTTGCACAGCTGAGAATTCAGTAAAACCGGACTTGCACGGAAAAATAACTTAAAATGGACCAACAAATATGTTCTCTTAACAATGTCAACAGCTTATCAAGCTGAATAAAATAATGCAACCTTTTTATACTGGGTATATTTTTTGCTCAAACACCTCCAATTCTCCAAACAGACATCAAAACAAGTGCGAGCCAATCAAGAAAGATGCTTAATGTTTTATACTTTGAAATGAAAACTTTCAGACACCAAAAAAAAACAAAAAACATTTAAGTACAGCGGTTCAAATATCAGCAAACACATTATAGTGCATTACATAAACTGGACCGTTGCTAACAACACAGTTCTGGGATCCAAGGAAATAAAGAAGACTTAAGCTTACCATAACAATAACACTATAACACAAAGTAATATAAATAATCAATCTCTTAGTTTGATATCTGAATTTGTGTGGATTGAAAAATTGTGAAGTATAACTAAACCCTTCCCAAAGGACATCTTTTCGTTCCTTCTTCCCCCCTAAAAATGGCTTTCATTTTAATTTTCGGAGTGAGTAATTGAGTGTTGTAGAAGGGATTTATTTGCATGTAAAAAGACTAAGGTAAAATAAATATGCAATATATTTTCCAAATTGATTTTTCCTTAGCCCTGAGGGATTTTTACGAATATAGTTTTAAAAGCTTTTTCTTTACGCAACAAAAGCTGAGTCCCCGAAAATAAAGTAAACTTTTAATATTCACATCTAGGGTAACTCTAGAACTCAGAACAGCTGCAATATAAATGCCTTGTATTAAAACAATAACTAGTCAGTGCTAAAACCAGCTTTTTCAAAGTCACAGCAAGCCCGGAACTCGGTGAGGAAATTAAAATTTCTGGTGATGATAGCCAAAGAGGAATACATTCTTTTATGAACGTCAAGTTTTTTGGTGAGAGTAAGTAAAACCTAAGTTAGTATAGCAGACTTGATATCAGTTTTGTTTTATCATTCTCGTGATTATTTTCCACAAAGCAGTCATTGACGTGTTAAAAGTTGCCGTGCACAATGTCAATGTATTAACTTTAAATGGATTTTAGTCACGGAAGTTTTAGGAATAAGATAATGAACCAACGCTTTGCTGGTTAATTGTATAAAAAGTGGCTTTTTGCGCTCAGTTTTATCGTCTATTTTGACTCTCGCTCATGGTCCAACGGATTTAGAATAATGCAAAACACTGCACGCTCCAGCGGGAAACATTTCACAGTGTTTACACCAGCCATAAGGCAAATAAGCATGTCTACCACTGCTCAAAAATATCGTTACAGTCGATATTCATTCAATACGTTTGACGTTTGACGTATGTGTACAGTGCAAGCTGTGTGTTATATCATCTCGTGCAAGTCCTGATTTTCTAAGATTAAGACCAGAGCAGATCACTCTTAGCTTTAAATCAGAGTTCAAAACTATTATTTCACGAAAATGGAGTATTGAATGAATGGAACAACACATAAACGTAATATTTTCCGTTTACTGTATCTCAGTTTTATATCACACCATACCATATTTCCCAGTTTGATAAGTTCACTTGTTTCGATAAGAAAATGGTTATATTTATTAGTCACGACACAAACATGTTTTATCCCTTCGTTTTTATTTTAGCTGGTAATAGTATTTTATTTGAGCTCGACGGATATCACGGTAATTTTTTTTTTGATGCGAGCAGTTTGGCGTCAATTCAACAGAGCGCATTTTCCTATCACATCTGTTCAAGGAAAGCCGACATCGTCATTTAAAATTAACTCGTCAATATACACTTTTAAACCATTTAAAGTGAAAACATGACTTGACAAATATACCTCTTTTATAGCAGTAACATTGGCCGCATGCAATCGTCGGCAGTTTTGCCCTATGATAACAACGAAAAGTATAATTTGTATGGGCGACAGGGGTGCACTAATTTCTGGAGTCTCCCATCAGGTGGCCAAATAAAACAGATACATATTTTGTTATTCCTGCCTCAAAAAGTCCCTACATTTTGCACCGTTTCCGGCTATTAAGTTCCACTTCTATTCTTCACAACTGAAAAAAAAAAACTTTTTACTGTGACGTTCTCGAGATGACATTTTAACCAGCAGGTTTTACTATCACTAGGAAATCGGCGAAAACCGATATGAAATTTTCATTGAAAATGTTATGCAAGAAAATGATACATATCGATAGAATATATCCACAATAGGAACTATTTTGCAAGATCCGGTCTGGTTGATCACCATTGAAGATGCTGCCGGCTGGACGACGGATAAAATATATTGTTGCCATAGTAGAATCTCTTGGTAAAAAAAGTCTCGCACATTATTTTGTCCTTGTATTTCTCGCCTTTTTTCAGAGCTATTTGAAAGGAACAAAACTACTTTCCACGCAGCTGAAAACTTGTCCCAGCTGTTAGCGAACATTTTGTTTTTGCTGCCTTGATTAGCCGATGTCCCAAGGCGACAGTGTTTGTAAACAAAACTCCTGTTGCTAACGAGCAAGGAAGATTTTACAATATTGACACTGGGATAGCAGGCGATAGAGTCTTTCCACATTCGAAGCAGAAATGTCAAAAAATAGAGGACGCTTTTCTTGATACAATATATATCACGCGTGACTGCCCAAAGACCACGTGGTGTTTTGTTGTCTGAAGTCGTGAAGTCACGATATATTTTTTGTCAGTGAAAAAGTCACAACAACAGCAAAGCAAGACATGAAAATTTTTTGACTTTTCATCTTCACCTTAGCAAACTATCGAGACTGTCAGCTCAAGGATTAAACACATTTTTTCAAGATCTACACGAGGTAAGACCAAAGTTTGGCGTAGACGGCGTGGCGGAAAGAAGAAAATGGCCGTAGGCTGTGTCGCGTGTGAATTTTTTTCTTTCTTGGATAGTTAATTAACGCGTATCGCTGCAGCTATTTTCGTTTTGCACGTGTTAAGTCCTTATTACGAAACGAGGGGGGCCAAAGATAAATGCAAGCCTCTCTTTGAGAACGCGAAATTAAATCACACCCATTAATAAATTGTATTCATTTGTATTCGCTCGCGCGCATTACGGCTTCAAACAACGTGGTCTGACGAAAGCCGTGAAACCACGCGAGAGTGTAAATAATTCCGCTTTGAGCAAACTAAAACGGACACATAACGCAAACAACGTTTGCTTTCAGCGTAAAAACGTGGTTGACTTTTCTGGTAAGTTCTTCCCCCTGCGGCATGTGTGCTAAATGGATGATCTTTAGTTTTCAAAATGATTTTTATGTGTCCCCGTTTCATGACGTTACTATAACTACAACTCTCTATTCGTTACGCTCTGCAGGTGAGGCAGAAAGGCTACAACTCTCCCCCATGAAACAAACTCAAAACGACGAAGACGCGAATGGTGGAATGGCGTCTACGACACAGTCCTATCCGCGACTGCCGAGGAAAAAAACGCTTGAACAACAAGCCGTGGTCGACGAGATTCTACAAGTCGTAGCTGATCAAGGACGACGAATCTCGCTTTCACAAACGGACTACAGCGTTCAAAAGCGAATAGAGTTCGGTTTAAGGCGCCAAAAAAGACTAACAAGCGAAGGATCGAGTTTTGATGACTCAAGTTCGTGTGCCAGTGGGTCTGATCTTTCCACTTCGCCTCCGCCTTCACGGCATAGCAGTATTTCAAGTTTTTCAGACGAAGGCAAAATGTTTGAATTCAGTAGCCGGCCACGGACCCTGCCGCCGCTCAACCGGAGCAGAACCCATCGGCCCTTCAGACCGACGCCTCCGAAAATCGACTTTGACGAGGAGAGAGAAACGAACTGTGCAAGCAGGTTATCAAGACCAATGTCTGCACGCGGGCAACGATCACGCCCTCAAAGAGGTTTCACGTTATGATTCAGAGAATTAGAAGTAGTATAGAGAAATTGCCATCATCATATTTTATTCATTGATAGCGCACAATCTTTTATGCGCAGAAGAAGTATTTTCGAACTTTTACGTAGAAATTAGCTTTGAAAAATGTTGCGCTCAGTTAGTGTCGCAAGGAAAGCCAACATCGGTGAACGTAAAGGTGGCGAACTTGGAAATTCATCAGTTGACAATATTACGTCTATACGCCAGATGGGGTGGCAAAACAAGGTTTATCAGCTAAGCTACTGTTAATACACAGCAAGAGGGATAATCGGAGAGGAAAAGAAAACGTTTGTAAACTCTGTTTAGATCCCGAGAACACTGCTGGTTAGTGTTGCGGCTCAGTATAAGTACTATATCTAAAATCAAGCAAATATCTTTTAAAAATACATACAACACGGCCTCAAGTCATGATCAGACAGTCGAAGAATTTTTAAAATTCTCCGACATTTCTAGAAAAAGTCAGTCTATTAAATAAATGCCACAGAAAAATAGCGGGATCAGGAAAAGAGATTTTACACTAAAACTGAACAAGACAACATTTTTGTCATTGAAAACCATCACCCACCTGTAATGGTTTTTACTCTCGACGCAATGAAAATGCAATTGTCGGTCAAATAATAGAGAGTTTCAAATGAATTTATTGCAAAACATATCGATCGATCTCATTTGAAAGAAAATGATATATGTAGAATCATATTATATAAATAGAAGTAGATAGCAAATATTCCTTTTTGCAGGCTAACTAAGAGCTATATTTATCCAAAAAATACGAGACCAAAATGTTAATTTCTTCTGATATTCTCGGAATAATATTTCGCCAGTAATTACCTCTTGTAAATAGTCCGCAAAGGTTAAAATAGAGAGAAAGGTTGGCTAAGGGGCAAAGCAAATTATATAAAAGGCTGTAAAAATAAAGTAAAATACTTGGTGCCAGTAAATTATTATAAGAATAAAACTTGATCTAAAGCGAGTGTTGTTTTGAAAATCAATAGCGATTTGAATATTCTAAATATTTTTTTTAGTGAATTTCAAGTTTGTTCAAGTCAAACGTTCCTAGTGTACTATTGCGAGACTTAAAAGATGAACTGCCTTCAGAGCACTTTACTTTCATAGGAAAATAAGATATTTACGACATATACAGGAACATGTGAAAAAGGCCTTGATCCCATTTGAAGGCGTTAAAATCGACATTTAACGATTAATCTCAGGCACATTGTCAACGAACGACAAAGCCACTTTCCAAACTCAAAACGTAAACAATAAAAATAGCTGTGTGAACAATAGTCTTTTGCTAGCGTGGTGTTCCAGACTGTTCGCTAATTGTTTTTGCTCAGCGGTACCAAACAATTATTAAAACATAGAAATTATTGACTTTGAACTTGCTCTTTCCAGAAAATTTATACAAAAATAATCTTCTTTATCTTAACACCAATTCTTTCGGTTGGTTAGAGAATCAGTCATGGACTGACTTAAAACCTGTTCTGTCTTCACAAAAGGTTGAAGTGGTTATGGGTTTAATTCGGCGTCCAAGCGGACCCGGCAATAAAATTTTCCTTTGCTTGAATCGAGTCACAAGTTGTGAATAGACTTATTCGCCATGCATTGTGTCAAAGGAAACCTTTGGAATAAGTTCTTCACCGCACTAATGATGATGAAAGCCATTTCTTTATCGTTGATCTATTTATTCAAGACGGTTTCACAAAATTGTTAATGTAATATGCAAAACTGATATAGTTTTTTTTTTTTTTTTCATCTCGCTATTTTAGATATACCAGTATCTGCATGCTCTTTTTGGGTCGTTGTCAAATTCGAAGCTTATTTAAGGATAATTGAAATGGTTTGAGCCACTAAACGTCGTACATCAAATTTAAAATTTATTAGTTGGAAGAAAATTATCTGTTGTTTCAGTATGTGAAAAATATTTCAAAAGCTGTCCAGTGCTAAGAAAATAGGTCGACAGCAGTGAAGTGTGCACGAGGAAAACAAATTTTAAGTTCCTTGAGCAGCTTGAGTCGCGTATCGGATCGAGGTTCTATCAATAAACTTAGCAAGAGGCAGCAATCACATAACACGATCCAAATATAACAGACACCCAGCATAAGTCTATAAGTCTATATGTTTCAATTTTTTATTTGTGTATTAATGTTTAACTTAAGGCCATTGTCGATATCCGGCTCGATGGAAAAAAGGTGAACAAAATCAACTATACAGTTGTAGCAGCAGTTGGCTTTTGATTTTTAAATTCGAAAACGGGCAAAAAAAAAATTAGTTTCGAAACCGTTTTCGAAAACGATTCGAAAATCGAGACTGTTTCATTAACAGTGAGCAGAAAGTTTTAATAATGACGGTTTTTCTCATGTCCACTCGCCGCAAACGATGCGGACGGTCGTGTCGAATATTTCAATACTTTTAGGTTACCATAACATCAGTTTGATGCAAAACAAAACAAGAATTGATTCAAACGCCATGCAATTAACAACGCGAAGAACGCAGCGACAGTCTTTGGAAATTAAAAGAAAAATTACACATAATACAAAGAGTAGAAACGAAAATCCAGAGCCATCGGACAATTTTGAATGAAAAAATAACAACGCGAGACGGAAGAAAGTTATCACTATCGAAACCAAGTCTTGAGGAAAGGTTTACGAAATTTTGGTTCTAGCTATTTCAGAGAGTAAAATTCATGGGATTTATTTTGTTATGTAGATATTCAAAGATTCATGACGACCACGCAATACAATGAAAGGCCCATTGTCATTTTGGAACGACTCCTTGCTAGATTCGATTCCTAGAGCTAAGAACATAGAACTAATTTTATTGTGTTCTGTTTTATTCCATATCCTTTTATCTTGTTATATATATGTTTCACTGAAAAGCTTCAAGTGGACGTGAAATAAAAAAAATATATGTATGTATAGTATGTATGCGTGTATTTCTAGATGTATGTATGTATGTATGTATGTATGTATGTATGTATGTATGTATGTATGTATGTATGTATGTATGTATTCCTAAATATTTTAATTCTAAATTTAACCGGGTGCTTATTTGTCCAGAATCCAGATAATTATAACCAACGCTTCACGTGCAACTGATAACGCTTTTTCCTTTTATGAGATTCAATAAAATCAGTCTTTAAAAAAGCATAACATACCAGTGTTTGACTTCAGCTGATATTACATGAAAAGCTTAAAGCTCGATTAAAATCTCTTTACTTATTGCCATAGATTCTGTATAATGTTAATTTTGAGAATTCAGTAGTGCATCAAAACAATTTCTCAAGTTGTCAATACTGACACTGGATATAACAAGGAGAGATAAAATGCTTGATCGCTATTGGGAAAATATTAAACTGGCGCGGCAAGGTAGAAAAAGGTACATTACCACTGAGGGTATGAACTTTTTTCTGCCTGTATTGTCTGAGGACTTACAAAAATAACCTACAAATAGAAAACGAACTTTAAATATTAGCTAAAAAAACATGAAGGGGGTTTTCAAATATACCACAGTTAATATTTGTAAAACACAGGAATAGATATTGGAATTTGGTTTGATATGACAAATATTAGTTGCATTGGAGACAGTGCTCGGAAAACACACCCACATAACTCGTAGTTTATACCACAACACTGAAACGAAAACTGTCAAGGGTACGAAATATGATTTCTTTGTGAACAGATCTTAACGCCACAAAGCTGAAAAATCTAACATTGCAGGGCAAAACAATTTCTTCTTGTAAACAACCTGAAACTCTCTCAGGTATGACGCAAGCGAACACTTGAAAAACAGGCATGTAAAGGAATTACATCATAAAGCGTCAGTCAAGTGTTCTATTTTCGTCCGGAAAAAACTTTCGAGAACGTTTTAATTTCCTCCATTAAAATAACCAGGGGTAGGCTTGGCCGTGTAATTACCCAATTACTGCACAATGAAAACCACCGGGTCGATTAACTAGAGTTCTCACTGTCGGCTATATTTACGTTGCCGAAAAATACGAGTTAAGTATTTGCAATATATTTTTAAATATTTTGCCAAAACGCCGGCAAAACTTGCTTTGAGACAGAGGGCACTTGACACAGGGCAGTGAATTTTAAACAGAGTTATGGCCGGCAATATAAACGAGTCAGCGCGAACCTTCTGAAGCCTATCTAGTGGTTTGTGATTTCTCATTTTACTGTGACTGATCAGGTAGTGGGATCTGTAGAACAGTCGAGGCAGGTTGATGACAATTGTACTTCAGGCAAGTCCAAGACATTACATTCTGTTGGGTTTAGGTACTACGTTTGCGACGTCTGGCTCTCACTGAATTTGAATAAGGTATCTTGCGTAGTTGTGTAAACTTTGTATAGGAGCTGTATCAAAAATTTCATTAAAATTATTTACAATATGAATTATCAAGACCCTTTACACCTTGATAGAAATACCTGACTAGTTTCATCCCCTTCCAATCTGGAATGTAAGAATGGTTTTGAAAACACAAACGTTACGTCTGAAAAGATATTAATTACTTTTGTTTTCAAAGAATAGTTATTTGGCACTCTAATAAATCAGTTATCTGCGGGACAACTTCTTTCCTTCACACAAGATCGTCACTAAAAGAATTATCTAGAAAACTTGACAAGCGAGATGTATTTTTGAAATGCTTTCCGTTTAACAGCAGCCTCTAAGAATTTCCTTTACTCCGACAAGATTTGAAGATTTTTTTAGTTTTTATTACTTCTGTATTTTAAACATTTAATGTGAACAATTTTTAGACTTTTATTTTTCAGAGGACCTCCCGAAAACAACCGCTAGATGATTAGAGGCCTACTCTTAGAATTTTAATTTATTACTATTATTATTATTATTATTATTTATTAAATAATATCTGCAAAAATCGTCTCTATACACTCTCTATATAGTTTGCATTTTAAAATGAAACAAACAAACAAACAGCAGATTAATAAGCTACAAGCACTGGTGGTTTATTCGCAAAAGAAACTATTGGAATTGCTTTAATTAGGTCCACTTTTGTTTTTGTCTGTTCTTTTAAAACATCCTGTGCTATTAATAAATTATCTGTAAATTTTAAGAAAACTAATTATATGCTAATAACATCATCAAAGAAAACAATACATTTTAATATCCACAATATCGAATGCAAAAGCTGTATTAAGTATTTAGGTATATACCTTGGTGAGCATCTAGAGTGGGAACCCCAAATTCAACATGTAAATGATAAATTAGCAAAGAATGTAGGTATAATTAATAAGCTAAGACACTATCGTGATTTTCATATGCTCAAACAGTTATATTATACCCTTGCTTAACCATACTTAAACTATAGTCTTGCCAGCTGGGGTGCTGCTTACAAAACTAGATTAAATAAAATCTGCACTAAGCAGAATAAATGTATACGAAGCATGTTCTTTGCTCATGGCAGAGAACATGTCAACCCATATTATAATCTTCATGGAATTTTGAAATTTGAAAATATTCACAGACTTAAAGTATCGCTTTTTACGCATAAACTTAAGAATGATAAAAGTAACACCCCAGCTGTACTACTGAATATTCTCACATCTGCATCAGAGATTCACCCATATAATACCAGGTATGGTGCAAATCAAAACTTCTTTAAGCCATCAGTACGCACCAATTATGGTGTATCTACATTTCAATTCTCCGCAATAAAAATCTGGGAATCTGTCCCACCTGAACTTAAACGTTTTCTATACATGCATGCTCTTCAAAAAGCGGTATAACAGATTCTTATTGACCACTCAAAACTGACCATAGTTTACCTGTTAGCTATGTAAGATACTGTTGTACAATATTCAGGTCACTGTTTTCCTTTATTTTAGCTGGCATTTATGTATGTCTCTCTTCTCTTATGATAATAATATCGTCTTTAATGTAAATATCAATTTAAATTAACTTAGCATGCGGCCAACGCCAACTTACATCTGCATGACAGCGACCAACTCGAAAGCTCATGGCTACTTTGGTCACTGTACACAGTTAAATATTGTTTCTTCTAGTTTATTTCTATCTGTATTTATTTTTCCTATATCATTGTAAACCATCTTACGTTAAGTTGTTTTTCTGTAAATAGTGTGCAATAATAAAAAACTAAAACTGAAACTGATCCAGGATTGTTTTATAAATATGCAAAACTGAAGTAATGCTATGGCTTGTACAACTTTACAAGGATGTTTGTGAAAAATAGGAGAGCAACACAACTAAGTTTATACAAATTCAAATCAGACATTTGTTGGAAATTTCCTTTAGCTACATAGTCGATATATATTTGCAAAACAAAACGAACACGCTTGATTTATGAAACAGCAAAGAAAACAATCCAGGAAATTCAATCCTTCATTCACTCGCATAGCTGTTAACTTTGTTTTTTTAGAATACATAGGACATCGTGAAAAGTGAATTGCAAATAGAATCTCTTTCACGTCTGGTGACCCTTGTTGACCTGCACCGACACAAGCATTTATTTTAAAAATGAAGAGTTTTTTTTTTTTTCTAGAAAAAAATGAGGAATTAGGGCTACAGGCATAAAAAAAAACCAATGAAGTGTCCATCATATTGAACCTCGTTTGCAGGTACGACTCCTAGAAACGAGGCTTCTGCGGTCAACAATATCAGCAGTTGATATTGTGAAGCTCACAAGAGACCATCTTGATCTCACTGATTTATCAGAAAGAGAGAAACAAAGCTGAGGAAAATTAATAAAGGCTCTGTAAAACTGACCGGCTAAAACTAACAACACATCAGTTAGCCAGCACAGTTTTTAAATTTCTTTTAATCTTACAGATTTGTATTCGCTATATATTAAAAATTAAAATTTAGTTGTGCCGCCATCCTGAACCCGAATATTCTTGTATGGAACAGGATGGAAATTCCGACCAACTTTACATACATCTGTGGTTGAGAACTAACACGCAATTCTGACCAATGTAATCGCTTTATACTATTTACAACACTAAGGACGTAACTTGTATATACTCGCATGTCAAACACTTGTCTATTTTTACTGTATTATTTAAGGTTTCTTGTGTTTCTGTAAAACCAGAATGCGTCCATCGTGTATACCAGTGTTACACAAAGATACCCATATAAAAATATCGTTAAGCGTCAGTATCAAACTTTTGTGAAATTATATCAACCATTTCCTTGTTGTGAAACATTAAAAACTTGAAAGTCATGGATAGAAAATGAGCATTTCATGTCTCTGTGAATAATGCTACGCTTTTATAAAATGGGCACCTTTAATGTTTTCGCTTCATTAGTTGAAATCTAAATACATGCAAAGGCCCTTCGCGTCAGGCGCGCATCGCTATTTTGCACGCGCGTTACGTGGCCATTGCGAGATGCACTTAGAGTGAACGCGTTAACTATCAAACGTGCTGCTCTTTGGCTAAAGTTTTCTATTATAGAACTTTTGGCCTGTTCGTGCACTGGTTTCGGATCGAGTCCAATTCGAAATATTAGGTTAAATGATAATGTACTTCAAAACGGTAGTGAGAAAGTTTTAGTCCTATCAATATATAAGTTAAACGATTCTCATCTGTTTCTTGGGAGCAATGTAACCAGAGTTTCTGCTCAAGTCTTAGCATATTAACTGCAATAATCTTTATAATTATGAGCTAAGCAAACTTCACCTCAAAAAGCAAGATGTTGGCTACATTTCGATAAATGATCGTCTATAATGGTGAAAATCACAAGCCTCGTGTTTGAAAGTTTGTCTTTATCTGCAGTCGATCGCTATTCATCCTGACTTCCTGGATGAATCGTTTACTGTTGTCAAATACAGAGCCATGTTGTTTGGGCGTCGATTATCGCTAATCCAGCAAAAACCGAGTTTCACCTTGAGATAACTTGAAGTGAAAAAAGAAACTTAAAGACAGTACATACGGCACGAACTGTACTCAAAATTTAAAACTTAAAATGTGACGTGATCACTTCTCAGGCTCATACTGATATGATCAACTTGGCTCTGTTTTGCAAACCACGCAATCTTAATTTCTTAGATTTCCTCAGTATGATCTAAGTTTGATCTATAGCTTCATAAAAATCGCAAAGAAGGACAAAGGTCAAAGAGCTCCCAAGATAAACTAGGTTTATGATAAAAAGTCAAATGGCCAGCCTTGTGGTAAGACTCCTGTCAGTTGTGATGAAGCTTGACATTCAAACATTCCCACATTTCTATGATTAGATAATACTTAAGCTGAAGTTTCCTCTACCAGGATGGACAAATGTTTCCACACTTTAAAGATCCTGGGAAACAAAATGAGAGAAATAAAGTTAAAACCTGGCTCATTAAAGAGCACATTGGTATTTCTCGTCAACTAGATTTTTTGCAAACAAAGTATCTGTGACAGTTAGGATTTAAAATGCTTCTTGATAGAGAAGATTTTTGTAATAAAAGTCATCAAGAATTGTCCATCAGGGGAAATCCGTTCAAAAATGTGCGCAAACCGCCAGTGAAAACTTGAGTTAGAGAGAGTTTACCATGTAACGATTATTACGTCACTGACACACTTTTATCATCAAGGCAAATTCGTCTTAACATGGTATAGAACTAGAACAGAGCTTAACTACAGGGGACGTTCTCTCTCTTACCTGCTTTGTAGTGAACGTTTTTGTCAGTTTAAATCAACTGCTCGAAGGCGCTGGGCCTTCGCGTCCAATTGGCGGCACATGTACCAAAGTGTATGGCGCGCTTGATGACGCTGCCGAGCTACTTCTGTAGAGTGGTATATCAGACGGATGTACTTGCTCGAGTTCTAGCGGTCCCTCCAGGGCTAACTGAGCGTCCAGTCTGTTAAAATTGATATAAGTTCTCCGCCTGGAGCCTTTACCCAATTTCCTAGAGTACGATGGAGGGTTGGTAAGCGAAGCGGCGTTGCAAGTGATCCTGTCGCATTCGCTAGCGGACGATATTCTCGCGGAAAGAATTTCGGCTGGTCGTACACGCTGGAAACTTTGGCTCGACCGTGGTCGGAGAGCTTCCGAGTGGTTATCGATTCCCGAAAAGTTTTCCACAGGAGCGTTGTAGTAATACGAAGCTTCTCTACTGGCGAACAGCGAATGATTTTGAAGAGGGATAAAGAATTTTCTGGACAGAAATTCCTGAGGCCAGGAAGCGTTTAAGTTATCTCCTGAACCATCTTCATCGGCGTTAAAGGGCGAATTTAATTCTGTCGTTTCTGGAGTTTCCTGCGCAAGCAAATCACGAGAGTAAGAACATTCATTTTTTTCATCCTGTGAAGGATTTTTTTCAACAGAGTCATCTTTTGAACGTTGGCGCTTTATGAGGCTTGAAACCGATCGCTTTCGGCTACTGGAACTTCTCGTACGAGGGCGTCCCGAAGGCGGCCGAGGCACGATTATTCCACCTGGTGGGTTATTCGCTTTACCAGCGTCCAAATTTAACGAAGATATTTCTCTGGATAAAGGTCCTTGGGAAGTTTGTTCACGGTCAATATTGTGGCCGTCTGAGTTTGTTATTTTGCCGTCTTCTCCCTTGACGACCAAAGCTGAATCTATTAAGTCTATGGTCTTGTCGTCAACTATTTTCAAATCCACTTGGGAAGTTTGTAGCGCCTCTTGATCTTTGACAAAACGCAAAACCAGGTCGCGCTTAGCACGAGGGACATTCTCTGTAAAATCATCCCGGCCTGGACTGTCGGGTCTCCCCTCCTTTGAAGTAGTCATAGTAAAATTTGCACTCGAAATCCGTGTTCACTCATAAATCCGCGAACTCAAACAATACTCCATCGGCGCATAAGATGTCTCTCGCATGGATTCAGCGATCGTCACTCTTGGAAAAACGACAAAGATGTATTTATGAAGTTGTAATGAAACTTCAAGTTGTCGTTAGACACTCCTGTTATTCAATAAACTTGATTTCGTTTCTCGCCACACGGCTTAACTTCGGTTGTCTGATGAATGCAAGATTTCTTTGTGACTGCGAACGGTCCCAAAATCCAAACGGTCCCGAAATGCTTGAAGAGTCGAAGGAACGCAATTCACAGAAGATTATACCAATAAGCAACACACAATCTGTTGCGATAACATAACTAGAAAACTAGCTCTATCATTTCAGTAATTTTCCACCATGTCGTTCAATGTTTGTGCTTTTGTGTCCGTAGCTAACAAATACAACCAACAGCCTGGCAGTCATTGGCCCGAAGCGATCAACAAATGACTAATAAATATTCATCTCCATTTCGGATAATGATCAGTTATGAATGCAAACTAATTATCCTATGTGTTTACCTAAAAAAGAAAAAGTTTATCCAGATCGACGCTATATTCTCACGACAGTAAACATTCAAAGGATGTTTTTTCAAAACTTCTTGGTACGGTGTTCTTGTTTCTCCAGTTTTTGAATTCAACTAAATTGGTTAGTTTAGTGACATCCAAGCGCTTAGCAGAGTAAGCAAGTAATTAGGTCTTTTAATTCAACCTTCAGAAATGTATACACTTTAAGAAAAGCCTTTGTTTTCTTGTACACATACACAAATAAGGGTGAAGTCGTCGATACTTCGCACATTGGAAGACCTTACTGAACAAGCCATAAATTGCTTTAATCGTGCACACTGGTTTCAAACCTTTGAGCCGCGTTTGTTTGTAGGTCTGTAAATGTTTTGGCCGGGTCCGGAATCCATTTGCGTTTTCAGTTGTGGTCATAGTTTGCGTTAAGTGGCTGTAATTTAGGTTTGTTAGCTCCCTAGTGATTTCGCAAAGGTGTAATTATCGATTTTGCCAGCAAGAGTAAAGGAGCCCTACAGCTTTGACGTCATCGCTCATTGTGCCGATAATCCTACTGTATGAAAGTTTAAACTAGTATTTTAAGCCCCAAATAACACCACTGAAAGACACGGCAGAACTGTAGAACACTCATTAAAAATATTTCACAAAGTAGGCACTCGAAATGTCTGCAACAGGGTCAAGTAAATGTCACTCCATTTCCTTGATCTTTTTGTTTTTCATCAAAAGCGAAGTTCAGTGTAGCCACACAAACAACAGGTTACCCCTAAAAATAATGAAGGTGATAGAAAGAGATTAACGAAACTGTTCGAAATATGCTTAAGCGGGACACGGAAATTATCCATCACGCACTATAAACGAAATCGGCGGCTGCACGATGTTTCTTTCGGTGATTTAATAATAGTCATTTGCACTAATTAATGATTTAACTCTTGAGTTATTGTTAAGTCTATTTCCTGATTACTTATGCCTGGCGTTTTATCATGTTTTGCTACTGGGAATGCTCTTCATCTATCAGTGTTTTGTTGATACGGAGCCAGTTGGAGGCGTTATACGACAACAACATCAAAATACATCAGTGGACGGGTGCGAATCTCAGAAACGATTTCATTGCGTTTACCTTGCTTTGACTCCGTTATTTTTGCTTATGTCAATAAGTGAATTCTCCCTACCAAACTCCCTGAGAACGAGGTTGTGTAACCTCATTCAATACGGTGTCCACTGTTCAAGTGAAGAGAACAGATTATCAGCCAGATTGAATAGAGGAAACCGAAAAAAGGCTCTTTTACACGATCCCCCAACCTATAAGCTTATTTACTTATTCAATTTTAGCTCGAAATGAAATGCTGGAATAAAACTGAATTAGAACCCAGGAAACTTGCGCTCGCAACTACTCGTAACATTTTGTATATTCTTTTTAGCAAGTTGCTTTCAATAAGCTCCATTTAGACAAACGAAAACTAAAGCTGTCCTTAGAGGCTTGAGGTTTTCAAATTAGCCTTGTTTTCTCCCCTCTCAAGGGTTGTCGAAAGAACATTTTACGATAACTGCAGAAATTTTCGCGCGCTCAGTGGCTAATTTTCATTGTCAATAAGCGGACAGACACATGAATTTATCATTTTTGCGATGCGTCAACGAGCGAGAGCGGACAATTTGACAATTTGTTATCGTAAAAAAACAAATTGAAGTCAGTTTTTCATGCGTCTGTTCTGTTATTGGTCATGAATTTCGTCATAACATTGTCAAAGTAGTCTGCGGAGGCGATAGCCGATAACCGAGTGGATCCGCAGACTACTTTGACAATGTTATGACGAAATTCATGATCAATAAAAAGACACACGCATTAAAAACTGACGTCAATTTGTTAATGGGTGAGTAGGTACGTGAAAAGAAAAAGACTGAGTAGGGTGGAGAGGGGGGGTAGAAGGCATGGAAGGTTAGGGAGGT